GTCACCCCGCCCTGGACCTCAACTGGAAAGTCCAGGCGCTGATCAAACATCAATGCAAAATGCAGGTCCAGTTCTATCAGTTCTATCAGTATTTCACAAAAATAAAGGATGGAAGGCAGATTTTTGTTGTCCAATTTGCCAATTGAAAGTTGAGAATCCTCTACCATGTCTGGATAGATGGTATTCAAAAAGCGAGTGGAGTTGTTCCGCTTGTGGGTTTCCAACAAGTCACTGGCTCGCTAGATTGATTTGCAATGGGTTCTCAAAACAAAGGTACAAAAAACAGCAATTGTTGCTGACTTCACCATGATTGATGCTACAGCAATATATATCTATATGCATAATATCATGTATATATAATAAGTGAATACAAATGAAACCCTCCCATGGTTTCAATCCGCTGCTCGGGATAATTGAGCCGTGGTTGAACCACCGAATTCAACGGCTAGGCGGCAGTCCTCGTAGTGCGCGAGCAACTCTGACGGAGGCACTGACGGATTCATATCATGGAAACAACTCAACAAGTTCACTGCAGCATATCCAAACAACTTACTGCTCATTAATTTGATTGAAGCCAGGCAGCTCCTGTTCATGCTGATGTTTTATGATCAACCCCAACTATCGTGCAGCAGGACAGCGACGCGCCGTAGGCGCCATTGCTGGGCAGGGATGAAGCAGTGAACTGGTGACAAAGAAGGATTAGGGACCTCATTTTTTCAAGCCTTTCCTATATCCAAACTAACTATTCCAGCGCCACTACGGGAAAATAGAATGGTTCTACGGGTTCTATTGCATGGAAGCTTTCAATAGAAACGCTTCGAACTTGCTCAATAAATGATGCTTTGATATGCTATGCATCCCCAGCCCTTTACTAGCATATGAAGGGTCAACGCTTTTCAACCCATGGAAATTTGGGTCATCATCCCACTTTGCAAGCGGCTGGGAACTTCAGTTAGTAGGTCCCCAGCTGCTTGTTCTCCCATTGCACTTTCTATCTTGCCATAGCACCAAGTGCAGGTGTCCTGCTTCGTGCAGGGCTTTGCCAAAATGGATACGATCTGCGGTGATGGATGCGTCCAGTCGTTTCGAAATTAGCTGATGCTAAATGGTTGAGGGAGTTATTTGTTGGCTTTTCTATGCCTGAGATGGATACTGACAATGTGGTGTGTTCAAGAACCAAGACATACCAAGAATGCCATAAAACACTTGGATTTCGATCAGGAAAGGTGACTTTGTGTTGGGACCGGCACCTGACTGCCGCAAGGATTAAAAAGATCTGGAGTGGTCAGGTGCTGAAACCAGAATGATTGGGTTGTACTTATCAGTGAGAACCCAAAAACACTACCAGAATTGACCCTTGGACGGGCTGCATCCCACAGCAGGTTTTCCTGTCGTTGCGCTAAACTGCAACAGCTGAGAACGCCGCGGAATGGTGTTCTATCGTTGTGTCCCTTTGAGGAATAGTCCAGCGTCTCGTAGAAGTTCATGTGCCCCTTAAAGACACGAATCTGTAGAGAATCTCAAAACCACCAAGAAACAAAAACTCCAGCACCGGAAAATCACGTTGCTTTGGGATGATCATGGCTTGCCCCAGCAACGGGTTAGACCCCATTTTTCCATGCATTTTTTCCTAGGGAAATGATTCCAGCATTGCTGGTCATAGGTTCCACGATCATCCTTCTTGCCATTGATTTTTTTTGCTTCGCTCCATCACATCCACTTGGCCGCTACCATTCCTATCCGTTTCTATACCACCCTGCAAGGCCCAGTACCAAGGCGAAAAGAAAAGTCCCCAGGTTGCACCACCCATTTCACCGAAATTCGTCAAGCTGCACCAGTCAGCATTTGTCAAGGGGGGTTTGGTCCGACTTCCTGGCAAAATAGGTTGAAATTAGGGCGATATCCCAGCGAAAACTGCTGATAGCTGAGGCTGGTGGTTTCACATATTCACATGCCTCCAATTTGGGATGGTGATTTGCAATGACTCAAGATTGATTTCGTTGATCGCATGTCACGGCATTATCAAAGCGAGCAATGTTGATAGGCCACTGGCACGCAGTCTGTCCAAACTTTGCGACCTCCCAAAATACATCAATCCTGTGTTAGTAGGAGAAACTGGTGCTTTCTTTCTTCAGGACCATCAAGTCTCAGTGTTCGTCAATCTTGAAGGACCAAAGAGGGAGTGCACGCGTTGCTCATCATGCTAATCATCCAAAAATATCCAAAAATGACGTTAATTCACCTAAAGATCGCATGTTTAAACTGGGTTTGTTATGGGCTAAGTTATGGGTTTTCCAGAAATGGTTGCTTCCATGCCATGGAGGTCAGGCAAACTCAGCATGGCGCTCGTTTCAGATGTTTCCAGATGGCTCGCCCGGTCGAATATCCGAATATCCCAACTGAAGAGTCCAAGAAAGTGGAAAGATATGCTACGATATTTTAAGATATGTTAAGATATCTTAAGATATGTTAAGATATCTTAAGATATGTTAAGATATGTTAAGACGATGGAAGATTGCAATATATATATATATATATGATATGATATTCTATGTAATTATGCCACCTTGCTGTTTCAGATGGTTTCAAGGCTTCAATCTGAGCCCATCTGCAGAGTGAAAACCCTGGCTGGGGAGGTGATAAGATTGATAAGTTGGGAACCCAAAAACAGAAATGGCTTTGCAAATGGCCAAAAGTGGAGATCAATAATCTGTATCAAGTCAGGTGGAACAGATTATTTTCACCATCTACTTTTGATCAAAAATCCTGGGGCGCTGAAGTCTTGACAGCCGGATTAAAAAAATTGTTCCCCCCAGATCACCTCCCATGTACATAGACTGCGGCCCCGCGGTACACAGCACAGTTTTCGACTCGCCTTGAAGAAAAGAAGCAGCCACTTGCCAGTGATTTTTGTGTTCACCTGGATGGCAGGGTTTGACATATACCCATGTAATCATGTACTGTCTAGGTCTAGAAATTTTCAGAAATTGGAGACATTCAAAATCTGCAGGGCTGGATTGACCATACACTGATCTCACTTCTGATCATGGTCGTTATCAAAGTGGTTATGAGTCAATATGATTGACGTTCCAAACTCTATTTAAATGATTTTATAGATTGTATATGTCTTCAGACGAGTGCCAACAACTTGCCAGATCCATTGTGCCCACTTGCCGCAGCCATCTGGCTCAGCCATGCGGGACTTTGGGCACCAAAGGATAGTCATCATCGGCCAAAATGGAAACTGGCAGATTTCAAATATTTCTTGTCTTTCAACCATACAAAAGGGATGATTGGTTGAGATGGCTCTTTTTGGGGGATAGGTTCAATTACAACTACCAACCAGGAAAGGTTCTTCAAATCCAGATACTGTGAAAAGCATTATGAAGCTCATGTGAAGTCTGGCAGATGTCGCCCACTGAAAGGTTGATCTGAAAAAAAAATGGCATGACCTGAGCATATGTTTTTCTCTGCCCAGCATGTCTAGAGCGAAGTGCCACTCTTACGAAGCCACTCAAGGATTGAGCTAATCATGGGTGCTTTGTCGCTGGCTTCTTTAAACTTTAAACAATCAGAATCCAATCAGCAGCCACCAATTCTGATGTCAAGAGATCATAGGAGATCACCGTGATGGTTTGTCCATTCGAAGAGTTCAGCAAAGGGCTGCACATGTCCCGGGTCTATGGCAGCAGTGCACCAAGGAGCGACCAAACCTTTGGGATCTGGCGATCTGCACAACATGAATCTGCTGATTCAACCATGATGAAAACTATGAACACTTGGCCAAGAGAGCGTTTACCCAAGAGAATCCAAAGATGGTCCGGCTCTGTGGATATTTGGGATGCCATCTCAGTAAACGCTTGCCAAATGGATACCAGTTTAGCCAAGAGCTATCCATCAGCTTGGTACAAATCTTGGGTAACGAGGTTTGTGCAACGGGCAAGCCAGAACTTTGCAGAACTGTCAAATTATGAAAAACCCCAGAGAACAAAGATGAGATCAAGAGCCAAACCATTTTCAAAATAGTTAGCAAGCAGACAAGACAGCTTAGAACTATAATGAACTAGAACTAGGTATGTTCTTGTTGAATAAGTTTCATGCGTTTCAAGGATTTTCCGGGATTCGCTGCCAGGAGTCATGGTTTCTTCTCCATGACACCTTCAGGAGGGCCAAAAAACTTGGAGTTTTCTTAGAATTCATTGAAATCGTAAGAAGATCCAGTTCACTAAGAAAAAGCTCAAGGATTTTGAGCCTTTCCAATGTTCGACTTCGCTTACCCCCTAGAGGCCCTAGAGTGTCCTTTATTTTAGTGTCACTTTTTGGATGAATAGTTTGGGAGGGTCGCACAACATCATGAATCTTTGGCCAGAGGGCAAGAGTTTAAAATCTCCCAAGTCATTTTAAGTCAAGCAAAGCCCACAGCTTTCTGGTTATCAACTCGACCACTGTTTTCAGGTTGGTGAAATATGAAAACCATGTAAAAACGATTGCCCCGAAAGACTCACCTCGCCTTCAACTAGTAGCGAGGTCGTTCTCGAACGCTACCTATCTTCCCCCAATCCTACGGATTGCACCAGGTTCTCAATGCTCCACGCCAAAACGAGGAGATTTGGGGGTACTCGACGGCATATGGCAACATATGGCAAGGAAAGCTTTGGTGATGTTTGGAGGGCATTTCTACTAGGATGAAGGTATCTGGGTATGTCCAAAACTGTCAGGATTCAAAGGGTTCCCCATACTGAGTACTGTAAATAAACCAAATTGTTTGCTGCAAGCAGACGGCTAGCTGAAGATCCGCGGACGCAGAACTTGCAGACAGAAACTATGAGGCAAGGGGCTCAAGGTGTTTTGACATGCAAGAACACACTGTTGGAAGCTTGGCCCCAAAACAGCCATTGTTCAAACTAAGCACATCTAACTTCATCCAACCATTTGAAATAAGGATAAGTAATGTCTAGCATATGTTTAGATTGTTTAGCTAGATTCACCATGTCAAGCTGATGCCCAGCTCTTCCCCATGGCACGTCTTGGTGATCGGCAACGGCAACTATGATGAGGCCATTGGCGCCTTGCCCGGCGCCATCGAAGATGCTGAGAAGTTTGCCAAAGAAGTGCCCCAGAGACTGGGTGATGATCAGCCAATCGTTCTGCTGAACGGCTCTGCTGACGAGCACTACAGAAGAATCGATGACTGGCTCCAAGCAGAAAGTAGCAAGAAAATGATGTTCTGTGCCGGACATGGCATGAGATGCCAAGGCATTTTCTACATCAAAACCACAAAAAATGAGGACATCCCAGTTCAAGAATATGTGCGCAGAAAGGTGGATCACTTAGGAAAGCGCGATGTTGTTGTAGCGTGCTTCTTTGGCACCTGCCAAGTTCATACGGAGTCATCAGGCAATCTTCAGAATCCGCATTTTCCAGGCTTGAGCGCTAAGCATCACTTCACTGGTCTGAACAATTTGTTTGCGTTTTCCTTCAATAGTGAGCCGGGCAAGTATGTGGTGGACTACAGCAATGTGTACGCACGTGTCTTGATTGACATGCTCTCATGCGGTGGATACAGGTCGTTGCAAGAAGTCTTAGAGACCTTGCCTGACCTCGTCTCCAATGAATCCTCCTTCACAGAACGGCCCTGGAAGGAAGACAATCTTGGCAATTCTTCTGCCAGTTTCGGGGAGGACACGGAGGACTCTAGTGACTTGTCTGAGCCAAGTGCACTCTGTGCACTTAGTCCTCAGAGCCTTTCCGGTGACAGCGGCGTTCAAATCATACCATCGAGTCAAACCAAACCGGCCCCTGATCAGTTGATGACTTTGACTGGTGACATGACAATCCTTCATAGAGCCGACTCGGTGATTGGTGAATGCATGTGGAAACTCGACCGTGTCGACTTCAAGGGCTGCAACTCACATGCAAGAGATGCAACCTTGCAAAGAGCAGCTCAGTACAGTGTGGAACTATGTAAAGCTATGCACGATCTCCGATTTCTTGTCCTTCCTGGGACAACAGACTCTCAGATTTACCCTACCTTGCCGAAACGTCTGACCCTTTTGCAAAAATATGTCCAGGGCTTAGACTTGGTACTCCGCAACGGACAACTCAAATGGCATGGATGGCATTCTTTTTCTGCAGAGATTCACAGAGTTTTTGATGATCAGTCCGCAGCAGCGGTGTATGAGAATTTGATAACATATGCATCTACCCTCTACCACTGTCAGTTGAGACGCATCGTTGTTGAGCAGGCGGGTTTGGACCACGAAATCCTTCTGGAAATCGAGCAGTGCTTACGTGTTGCCGCTGAAGGCTTCGTAGCGCAGTCAAGAGAGATACTGCCGGGTCCAATCTCCAAACACCAGGTCTTTGTGGCCTTGCATAGCTGGGTTGTAGCACAGAGATGGTTGGGCAAACACTCAGAATGCCAAGCTATATTAGTTGACTGGTTTGGGCCGCTCCTTGCTCTGGCAACGGAAGAGATTCAAGAAGTTTGGAAGGGTCGGCGATCTGAGGCGCAAAAATACCAACTGTTGCAACAGTTGCAAAAACGAAGCATTGATCATCCCACTTGCTACGAAGATGTGGCTTCGTTCCTTTACAAAGCAACACGATGGTATGAAGAGTTGTCGCAAGAGGCATTGTTTCTAGATTTCACATTGCACATGGAGTTGAATGAGTGGCTAACATGGCAACCTCAAGGCTGGCAGCTTTGCACAGCAGTGAGGGGGTGTCTGCACAATTCAGGCAATTCACACCTCAGGGCTCTTGTGAAGAGCTGTTTGCCGCTGTGCACAGCTTGGGGCAGGATTTTACAGAAACAACAGCACCAGAAAAGCGTGATTTGTCAGAAGATTTCTGTTTCGCTTGAGTCGGGTACGGAGTTAGCTCTCCGGAAGTATGCTCAAGAAGTTGGTCGAGTCATGCTTGCTGTGCAAAGATGATTTTTTGATACGTTTTGGTGCAGGCAATTGCCCTGAACCCTGTAAATTTGAGACTCGTTTGAATGCTTTCTAATTCGTACGATTTGTGTGGATGCATGGTTTCCTGCAAACGAAGCCTTTGGATAAATAAAATCCGCGTTGCAATCTTGTTGTCTGCTGAATTCCGGCGAAGCATCGTAGCCACATTTAGCATGGAATTCTGCACGAAAGAGTTCCACTTACCACGTTCAAACAACACACAGCAGAGCCGTCATCCCCAGCCACCAGGAGCTCCCAAAGACGATGCAACCGCTGCAACCGCTGCAACCCTTCGAAGCTACGCCCAGCTGCACCGGCGCCCGATTCGCCCTGTGGTCCATCCCGTGGTCCGCAGCCCCCGCGAAGTGTCGCCACGGCTGCAGGGGCAGCTGGGAAGACTCAAACAGCAGCTGCATGTCCTGCGAAGCGAAGCCAAAATGTTGCGGAAAAACTTGACGGACAATGAGTCTCTTGGTTGCGCAAATAGCGTTTTTGATAGACAAAGATAGATGAGAACCTGTATTTTTTTGGAGTTTCTTGGTCTGTTTGAACTCTTGGTGGAAACGTGGACTTTTGTGGGTTGCAGAGTCATGGGTGGAAAGGATGACAAGAAACATCCAACAACCCACAGGTCAAGATGTTGTGCATGTGCCCCCAGTGATGAGTTTTACCTGGCCATTTGAATAAGCTGATGGCTGGCATGGAACATTCCTGGTGTATGTTGGCAGTCGCCCTGTGCGTGAGCTAAGGCTGGCAAGTGCCGAATGCGCCCGGCTGTGGACAGCCAATCGACATCGCGTGTGCGAATTGATGAAGGAAGAGGAAGAGGAGGATGCTGAGGACCAGTTCGAGTCCTCAGATTCCCAGATTGGAACATACCAAATTGGCGACACGAACCAGGCAACTCATTCCAAAGATGTGTGCTACGCTTGTTGGATTTGTCCGCTGTCAAGCCTAATTCTACGCATAGCCCTGGAGAATGGTGAGCTTTTGGGGATGTGGAAACGACCGTGTGCCAACAACAGGTGCAGGGAACCTAAATCGTTTGGTGTCCATGGAGAGGAGGTGCTCCTTTTTCAAATGCCTGGATATGCCTAGCATGTCCTGGCATGTTTACCTTTGCAGATCTTGGAAAGTAAACCCAAGTGAAAAGGATTATGATGATTATGAGATATTATGAGATATGTTCACTCTTTAAGAGGATGATTTTCAGAGACATCTTTATTATCCAAGGTACATGATCATGATAATGTCTGCAAATGGAAAATGTGCCTCCAGTTCTTCCGAAACAATTATGTCGTTCGGAATTGGATATCCCAACGAACCTTCAAAAAATGACCAAACTCTGTCAGGGGGTCTTTTCATTGGATTGCTTTGGTCGAAAACAGGAAACAATGTGTTTTTCCGAAAATCAGGCTATCCAGCAGATTCTCCACCGCCGAAGCCATAAAGATATGACCCCACCCGACAAGTCGTAGGAGGAACCTTCCGACCACGCCAAAGCTCGTGTGGAGGAGGACGAGGGCTGCCATGGCTGCCATTTTTGGATTGGGGAGATGTCAAAAACCCATGGATTTTGGGCAGATGTGCTATGATTGGGATACTGGGATACATAACCAGGAAATCTCCCGGATATACGACTGGGAAATTACGACTGCGACTTGCTGGGATCTACCCCATTTTCACCAAAGTGCTATGATTATAGTGGTTTCAAATGGTTGTCTTAATGAATTTTCCAGGAATCTCCCTCAAAATCTCGTTGGAACAGGGTGCCAAGTGTCATCACAAAAATGCCAGCCACAACGATCACAATGGACAATGTGGATGTTATTGGATGTTTCTGGAAATGGATCAAAATTTAAGACCGTTTGTAACCCTTCCGTCCGACTGTGTGATTCGGAACACAAAAATCCCAGATGCCCGTTACTTCACAGGAAAAACACCCAGCCAACTTACCACTGGACCGACGAAGCAAAAGATCCCCATCCCCAGGAAATGATGCAAGTCCGGCAAGAGACCCTGGAACTGGCTATGGAGGTGCTACACCTGGAGATGGCCATGGGGCCGTCTCTATGCCAGAGATGCCAGTGGCACAATGTGGCACACTGAGGGTACAACCTACAATTCTTTGAGGTTAATGTAAGTAAGAGAGTTAAGAAAGTTTGTTTGCTCAGGTAATTTACTGTAACTTGGGTATACGAGACTAATTTCCATCTGGAAGTTGTTCCTGCGTAACCCTAGTTTGTCTTGCCGCAAGGCTTGCGACAGCGCGCAGTTTCGATGATCCAGAAACTTGTTTACCAGGTTTGTAATTTGCAGGGCCAGATAGATATGTCTCAGTAACTGTATCAGCAAGTGTATCACCAGAGTAAAGTCATAATCAGTCATAGTAAGTCATCATTTTTCCATAGTTTTGAAATGTTCCATGTATTTTCCCAAGCTCCTCCCATCCAAATCATCCAGGTGCAACGAGCCGCAGACCTTCAATGGCTCCGGAGCCTAGAGCTGAAGCGGCTGAAGATGTGGATGAAGCTCCAGCAAGCCAAGCGAAACGCCAAGATGGCCAAGCTTGCAGATAAGGACGTTGACGTTGGAGATGGTTGGGATTCGTGTTTGAATGGCTATATGTTTGATGATGTTTGATGGTTGAGTGGTATACCTCATTTGTGGTTATATCATGGAGATGTTTCTAATGGGATAACTCATCAACAACTTTGGTGATATAACCATTAAGAAGTGGTGGAATTATGGGATATTAATAGGAATGTTATGAATGGGGATATACAAGCAAGTAAATATCCAATGGGTCTTATTGATGGGGACATCTTATATACATCTTTTTACATCTTTAGGGAAGACTGAAGATCAATAGGAACCAAATTTCTAGAACCATGGATGTTTCGCCATGAGAAATATGGAAACCATTGGGAACCAGTTCGACTGAACCAGAAGCACTATGACTATAACCCACTGTTTTTGCAGAACCAGTTGTTTTTTCCCAAAAACGCCATGTTTCCCCGTGTTTTTCCCATCGCTTCCAGGATCTGCAGCGAGACCAGAGCGTCTTTGCGCTGCAGCTGCGCCAGTCCGAGGAGTGCTGCGCGGCGTTGCAGCTGCAGCAGACGCAGCTCAGGGAGGAGCTGACGGCGGCCAAAGCAGAACTGCCAGGTGGGATGAAAAATTTCCAGAACTACCTGGTAAACATAGAAAAAACGATCGAAAATTACCATGCTATGAATGGGTAAATATGGGTAAATCAACTATTTCGATTGGGCCATTTTCAATAGCAAACTGTCAGTTTACCAGAGGGTATGGGATATTGATATGACCAATGAGATTTCTGGGGGTACCGAACCTTCAAAATGGAGTAGAAGGGGGTTGCAGGGATATGATGGTGGATGATTATGAATGTTTGGGTGGCCCTAAAAGTGCAATTTTGAGACATGCTCATGGAAAAATGATGATGTGGGGATATAATTATCATTAATTATCTTGACCAACCAAACAATGGGATATGGGACAATCACCAATAATGCATCCACAGTGGGGATGGCTTTGTTTTGCTCAAAAAATATGATAGGTGGGTTTGTCCAAAAATGCCATGTTATGGCGAGCACCTGCAGCTGCAAGGACGGACATGTGAGATGGGGTGGCCTTGAAATGGTAGGTTTGCTATGGTTTCTTTAATATGATAAAGTTGTTATGAAATCATGAACCTTTTTGGGGGGTCGAAATTGTGAAACAAAGTGGGTCTTATCAAGAAAAATCGGTGTGGAAAAGGTTGAACTGTTGGAATACTTGGGAAAAAATGTCCACATTCACAAGATGTTTGGGTTTAGGGATACAACCAACGAAAATGGATCCATTGGTAACCCACGGTCAGGTCATCGTCAGGTCATCCGTTCCGAGGATCCTCGCCCATTCCGTCGCAGATGTTCACTGCGCTGCAGAGCGAACTGAGGGCTGAGGAGCAGATGTCCGATGTCCGGTTGATGCCATGATCATTGATGGATGATGTGGGCTGGGGCTATTATCCTTGAGTATCTTGAGTCATCCAACAAGGAACTGTAGTTCAGAAGTGTCAAACTAGCGGCTGGGATGCATGTCCGCCCATTTTGCTCGTTTTGCTTCAGCAATTCACAAGTGTTGCCAGCTTTGATGGCAACAATGCAACAAGCCAGTGATCGATCATCGGACTGCGAAACTGACAGAAAGTTAGTGGTTTCAAGCAGTTTGTTCGCAAATTCTTGGCAACATGTCGCAACATATCGCGACATGTCCTTTCTGGTTTGGTTGGTGCCAGCAACTAGGAGCCATCTAAGAGTCGAGACAAGGTGAACCTCAAGCATCATTCCTGACAGGTATCGGAACAGGGATGAACAAACCCCATGTGAGCGCCTTCATTGGTTTTACATCTCCCAAACTATAATATAGTTTGAAAAGATAAGCCACCCTCCCCAGCAGCTGGCTTCCCATATTTGTATGTTGCATCCTGGGAGGTCAACATCCAAGTCCAAACCCATCTTCAAACCCCGCCACTTTCGAAGTTTTGACACCAGTGAATCTGCGGAAAGCATGGCTTTGGGCGCGTCGGCCCGGCGAAGTCTTTACCCACTGGGATGGATTTTGACCTTGGTGGCTTTGAATATTGTACTACGATCATTGCCATGAGTACACACAACTGACGCATATCTTATTTGGTGATGACTCTGATGACTTGAAAGTGTAAGCAAGTTTCCAAGCGTCAGTTCAACACCTTTTTGATATGGAACTCATTGTTCCGCGTTCAACCTTTTGAACATGTTCAAAGTCCCAAGCTGTATTGGATTTCCCAAGTTGACATGCTCATAAATCCAGGATGCAGAGATGGCCAGGCACGAGGGGTAGATATTTTTCCGCTTCGGAAATGATGATCACCATCATCATCGTATTCATGATGATTGCTACCCAATCATGATCCATTTCCTCCATTTCCAGGTGAAATCCGTTTGCCATGATTAATCAATGTTCGTCACATCTTGTGATGTTTGTTCAAGCGCCGAAGTATCGATCCATAAATTCACCAGGTCTTGGGGCCCCAGTGATGCCCCGGCCACGGCCTGTGAGGGACTCAGGGGTTGACGAACGAAAACTGGGATGTATCATCCATGAGGTCAGGAATGCTTGATTTTTGTAAAATGTGGAGAAAATCCATCGAAAATCTATGAATTTTAATGTTCAACTCAAATCTATCTAGCTGTTTATCTGGGATCAGTTGAGTCAGCCAGAAATGTTTGGGGCAGTTCGCAGTTCCGGATGTGTTCTTGTTTGGAAGTGTAAACCTTTTTGAGATATCTGGAGGATTTCCAAAACCACAGAGCCTTGTTGTTTGGGACTTGTGACTATTCTTATTAGATCATCAAAGTAGGCACTAGGATAGCTCAGTACTTGGTCAATCGTTGCCATCATTCCAAACCTGACTGGCTATGCTGCAGCAAGCAAAGAGCAAAAATATGGGTAGAATATGGGTAGTGCATCCCAATACATGACCCATTTTGCCAAAGAAATTTGGTATGTGAACGGATAGGATACCTTTCTGGGAACCACCCAGGAATCTTCCAGCCCTCCTCAGCAAGCTGGCCCAGGATTTTAGACCGAGAACTCTGAGAGAAGCGTAGGGGCACCTAGAAGGAAGCCCAGAAACGGGGCTGGATTTCTCCAGGAACCAGAACTCAAAAATAGGAGTTTTCAAAATGGTTTCCATAGGGTTGATCCAAAAAGGACTCCAAAGGTCTCCGTGTTTCGAGGTCGGCCAGCGACCGGCTTCTCTATGACAGCCTGAGTCGTGAGGCGCTGCGGCGCTGGAACATTGACCAACTCATGGGTTCCTGACGTTGATGAAACCTTTAGGACCAACTCCAGATCGTCAGTGTGAAAAACTGTCAGATGGGAAAGTCGAAACCCATCAGTTGAGGATATCCACTTGGCCCATCCAGCCAGGTTGGCAAACTGAAGAGCGGCAAAACGCGAGCAGTACCTTGGCCAAACGGCTATGGATCCATGTTTTTGACCCAGGGGACCACCAATGTTGATCTATTTTTTATGAGAAATGTCACGTTTATGGTTGGTAAACATATTGAAATGTAAAAACTGCGTATATGTGTCCAAAAGTTTGAGCACCGACGGTGCTGTTGTGTCTCCCCGGTGCGTCTCTGGTGGATCAGCCCGGTGGAACCGCTACGGGGAGACAC